TTTGACGAAATTTGGCTGAAAAAGGAGTAGAAAAAAGTGGAAAAAAAAGGAAATGTCGAAAAAATCGACGAAATTACGATTTTTTGTGCGTTTTTTGACATAAGCGAAAAAAACGCATAAAATTTGACTAAAAGTTGCTACTTTTGTTCAAAAAACGTGAAAAATCGATATGTCTGTCTGCTTGGGTAATATAACAGATAGAAATTTCGATGAAATTATATTTTTCCATAAACAAGGGTGCCTTTGAGGGTTCGAAAGAAGATTTGAAACAAGGTTTTTGTGGTAAAATTTTTCATTGGTGAAATTCAACAGTTCTTTTGTTTGAACGTGTTATCGAAAGTTCTTCACTGTTTGATGAGTAGTTCGCAAGTATAATAGTGTTTTAGCTACTGTGAATAATTATAGTAACGAAGCGATCAAAGAATTGTGAATCCATGGCAATGTCTGGATCTTGTTAGTAATCGAATCATTAAAGACAGAGTTCTTTGCAACATTGGATCCAGAGAGAAAATGAAAAGCGACCGTCATGAAATACTTCTGCTGAATCTCTTAAATTTAATTTATCTTGTTGACAAAAAATCCAAAATGAGCGATGTAAACAAATGATAATCATTACATAATATGACATAAATTTTGGATTAAATAACAAAAGATAAATTAAAAATGAAAATCGTCTATTACCAAAATATTGACATATGTTCAATGCATGGAGTAAACTAATATATAGATTTATTTGTAGAAGATAATGCAAATTTGAAAAAATTAAATAATAATTCATTAACCATGTCCATATTATTAGTACATATTGAGTTAATTTAAAATGGAAAATAGTTCTTTGATTAAATATAATCATAAGATATTTTAAAAGGAATGTAATAGATTGTGATGTGAAAATCATAATCATGGTTGACTTTATTTCATGAAACTGATTTGACAAACTTTTATGCACTATAAATCCAGTCAAAAAAACAATTGTAACGACTATTAAAACATATAAGAATTCATTCAAAGATTCATTTGGTCTGTTCATTTCTTGTCGAAGTAATTCAATATTTTGGACATACTGTAAATTTGTTGGATCGTTTCTATGTGCTGATTGATAATAATACAATGCTTTTCTAAATAATGTTGTTCTAGTTCTATAAATATCACCTAACATATTATATATTTTTGCCATTTTAATAGAATTATAAAGACGTAATTCAATTACTGTATTTAAATGTTTAATAGCTTTCTGAAAATCTGTAATAGTATAAATTTCGGCCATAGTTACATATGACAAAGCCATATATTGTGTAGACTTATGTTCATTTTCAATAGAATATTTTTTACATGTCTCAATTATTTTTTCAAAATATTCAATTGCTATTTCATATTGACTTTTTTTTTTGCATATTGAACCAAGAGCTTCGTATGCATCACATTGATCCCAAGGATTCTTTATTTCGCTCTCAAGAAACATTCTATAATAACGTTCAGCTTTATCGAAATTATCAGATGTTTCTGAAACAAATTTTCCTAACGTCAAAAGGATCGGTTTTTGTTGTATGTCGTTTAGAATTTGCGAGTGCGTATCACTATCTGCATCATTCCCATTATTATCGGCTATCATAATCATTTTTACATGCCAGAAATTTTTGTTTCTTGAATATTCAACTGATTCGCATCGAAAAATTGTTCCCATTGACAATAATATTTCACATTCATCTTTATAATAACTCTCTTCACTAATGTCTGCATAAGGCTTTGTGAAAGCATTAATATTGATGGTATATGAGAATACGACTGATCTACACTTGCAATGTGTACTTAATTGTGCAGATTTGCTATAATCACATGGTAATACTGCCCTGTTTAAGGATAGTTCTGGTCTCATCGTACGAAGTTTTTCTTCAGATGGCGGTTGATTATGCTTATTTTTTAAATGCTGTTTTTCACTAGATTGTAACCTTTTTAAAATTTTTTCTTCAGGACTATCAGGTATGGGATCGATATCAATGCCAGCAAAAACATATGCAACATTAATGTATGTTGTTGTTGATAAGAATGTATTTGTTGAAAACGATTTTCCAGTATTATTTTGAAGTTCTTGAAGTTCTTCCTCTGATATTTGTTGACCACGATAAAGAATAATCGATTTAGTTTCTTTCGATTTTAAATATTGAACATAATTCTTATGTAAAACTGATAGCCGTTCATAAAGGTCTCTTATGTAGTAACGAAATGTATATATTTTATCGATGTCTTCTGTTCTACATGCTTCATTCAATAGACGGAATAGAAAAGAATTACGTGTATACCAGGATATTGCTTGTTCCTTCTTGTACTCATCATAAAATTCTTGCACTTCTTTTAGTTTAACTTCATTTAGTTTAAAGCATGTGGGTCCAAAAAATGGAAGCGATGTGGAAGGAATCATTGCTAGATTGTTGTCGGAAGTATTGATAAGAGGTGGAGTTCGGAGAATGTGGTCAAGACAATATAGACATTGACTCCCATAATCTTCATCTTCATCTTCCCTCTGATAACAAGATAGAAAACATTCTCCCATCATTTCATCTTTTTCTCCAACTGTAGATGGAATATTCACTACAAGATCAATCAATAAATAAAATTGATCTTTTCTCAAACTTCTTAATGACATTTGTCTTGTTTTGTTGTTATCAAGCACAACTGGCTCTATCTGTGAAAAACTATCTGCAGTGTCTCGTTGTATTTGTTTTACGAATTCATCCTCTTTAATAAAATACAATAGCTCTCGGCGCTCGAAATCATCGCATGTCGATATGTTACATTCATCAAATATAATGATAGCTGTTAATTGTGGCACAAATAAAGCATACTTATCTGAGTATATTCGGTCAAATACATTCTTGAATGAAGAAACGACAACTAAAATGACTGATGATTGATTTTTCAACGAAATTATGTGATCGAAGCATGAATCACATCGTGAAAAATATAATGTTGATGATTGTAATAATGAGGTATCGTATTTAGTTGGCTCTTGTTCGGTATCTAGGAAGACAATGTCATGTGTTGACGAAAAATTTTTTAAATGATCAAATAATATATCTTTTTTAATGTAGTAATAAATTTGTTGATGGCTTTTAAGTATTTTGTTAGGTGATAACATCAGTGGATATATGATATTAGCTTCTGTTATACTCGTATCCAAAACATAAATGTGAAGTTTTGACGACATTTTCAATAATAAGCGATGCCAAAACTCGTCTAGTTTTGCATTTCCAATATAGGATAAACCATTCCAGCCAAAGGATGCTCTAAAAGTTGAAATCAAAGCAACATGTACTTCAATCTCAGATATTCATACATATACTCTTGTATAAATCATACAAAGAAAAGATCAGACGTTAGTTTTTTTTTAATGCTTTCTATCAACAAAAATTCTTTTCTACAAGAAAACCTGAACAGTCTACATTCTGTAATCCTATTACTATGTTGAATTTTGAGATTTATTCCGTTAAAAACGATTATTAATGAGTATTGAAGTCATTAAATAGCGAGAAAAGTGAAACTAATTATCTGCATCTCTAATTGGTGTCACAAATATTATATGAAAAATTTTTAGCACTTCTGCAATATGATAGAAAACTTCTAATATATTCAATCGATCGAAAAGGCTCATTTATCTTATTTATAGACCACGCTAAATATTTTTCTGATAGTAACTGTCACAGACTGCGATATAGTAAAGTTGGCAGTGATGCCGAGTTTTCGTTTCTTATGATATGTATGTCATCGTATTGCACATGTTCAGCTTACAGTGGCTATGTTGCAAACATTTTTCTTCTGTATTTTTTTGAAACATGACTGATAATGAGTGTTGAAGAATATAGTCAGAAAGTCAGCTCTTTTCTCCGCAGTTAGAGCCTACGAAGAGTCGATATACAACATGATACTAAGAATTTTTCAAAATTTCGATTTTTCAGGTGTTAAAGGAAGTTTGCAAAACACACCTAGTGATGAATATTGACACACACTGAGAGAAAACTGAACTTATATCCCTTCTCTTCTTAATTTAATAATTCATTTTGAGCAAACTTTTCTGTGTGAAGTGATTCTATGAGTTACTAGGATCTATGTGGATGATGATGCATCCGTGGATCGAAATATACTTTCCTAAGTGTACACTACATATATATGGTAATACGATAATGTTTGAAATATGGTGTCTTGAGTCGTTATAGTTATTCTGAGTCAATAGAATCAATTCACAGAAAAAAAACCATCTAACATATATACATGGCAACAGAACCAATAATCAAAGAACTCAGTAGCGGACTCTCTGATTCCATGATTTTGGAATTCCTTAAAGTATGATAGGCTGAGCAAAATTGACTGAAAGGCTCTGATTAGCTAATCAGAAATTGCCGAAAACTTCGATCAACTATAGGAAAATCCTACAGCGAATCTGATTTTTCGTCTCAGAATCACTGAAGAACGTAGTTGGCTAGAACAAAACGATAGAAAGAATTCGATCAGTGAATGCAAAATGACAAAAGCATTTTGCTAGGTTATACCCAACTGACCCAATGGCTCTAGTTATGTACCAACCCCATTCATACTCACACCCATACTCATTATTACATCTTTTTTGTTAGATGAGAAACCATGTGAAACTATGCGAATATCATGAGAAAAAAAAATAGCAAAATCATCAATTTTGACATTAAAGATGATATGCAAAATCACTTTGTAAGATTTTTTCGTAGCGAAGATTGGAATCACCCTCATTGAATTCGAGCAAAAATCAGCAAGGTAATCTTTTTAGGGCTCTTACACTCAAGTCTCATAAAAACTCCCGAGTTTCCGATGTTTTTCAACTATTGGATCCAACTAACGTAATTCTATGTTAAAGATCCCGACAATATCAGATATTGATCACTAAATGAATATGTATTTGATAAAAACAATCCATTTGTATACCGTACCTTATATCCCACTCGAAACCTGACAATATAAAGAAGATTGTTTCAGTTGTTAGCGTTGATAAATAATTGTTGACTTTTTCTATGTCATGAAAAACTTCAATAGAATTTCCAATTTTCTTCTTTAATTTTAACATAACTTCATGTTGAGCTTTATCTAGATCAAGCCAAATTATGATGTGATCATCCAAAATAGGTGAAATTTCATCTAAACCATCGACGATTGTATAATTACTGCTGTTGGATCCATCTTGACAATGTTTCAATGACATAGTTGACGAAAAACTTCCTTCCTGCTTTCTTGCACTCTGCAATTACTGGCTTCTGAAATTTTAAAGGTATTATACAACTTGGTGATAAAAAACTTCAGCTTCAGCTTTCGTGGTGTTTTCGATAGTTTTCAAGTACACACTTCAAAAATCTGTTCATGAAGATTAAATGAAAAACTTCTTGCAGACATTGTGAATAAATTTCTGATAGTAGAGTCTATACTCAGAAGTAACAAGTGGTTAGCACAACTCCTTCCGGAATTAAAATTGTGAAACACGTGGGATCTATTGTTACTAATTAAATGGAAATCGTTTTGTTCCATTTCTTTGCGATTTATTTGTAGCTAATCGTTTATCTGATGCCTTAGAACTATAGGTTTTGTGTCACAGCCTGTCATAGGTATGAAATTCGTCTGTCAGGATATGTGGGGCGGAGGAAGACGCCCAAAATTTATACCCTATTCACTTCAACAGTCCTTTCAGAACATGTTTCACAAAATGTTTGAAGTCATCGCGTGATGGATTATTTTTGTTTCGTCTCATCCGTTCATATTCCTCGAGCAGCATGCACTCAGTCATGAATGGACACATATTGAAAGTTCAATTTTCATCACATCTCTGCACATATGGTACGGTTTCTATTTATCATTGAACTCCTATGATTTTTTCCCAGCAGCTAAATTTCAATCGACCAGAATGCCATGCCAACAACAAAAATGAACTTGGCTGAGGTAAAGCTTTTAAGCTCTGATTTGTGCATCTTATACAAAACGTTTAATCATGGTACTAATCAAGCCTCCTCAAAATGCCATTTTTCGTCGAAATAACCGAAATTAAGATGAATGAAGAGAAGGATAATCCATGATCTGATCTTTTATAAACAACAAAAATTGTTACTCGGTCTTCTGATTTTTTCCAAGAGTTTTTGGATTTTTGCATCATTCTGTATTCGAAAAATAAGCTGCTTTCGAAAATAATCGAAAATATTTTTCTTCTTTTTTCTCGTTTTACAGATTTTCGGTCACATCTCTGAGAATTCTCCAGAGAGCTTCATTGTAGTCAGCAGTTTGTTTTGCTTGAAAGGGGTGGATGTGGGTGCTTAATTCCTCTATATCCACACCCACATTTCAGTATTACTCAACCTCTTATTCTGAGTGGATTTAAAAAACACGCGAATTTTACAGTGAGAAAATGGCAACTTGAGCTACGTTTGGTTTATAATTTTCGTCAAAAGTATCGTGCAGTTTGATGAGAATATACAAGGGAAAGTATTGATCTAAAAGTACCTACAAAAAAAGCATGTTTCATCTTAAAAACTTCTATACAGATCAATAGCTTGAACATCATTCGAAAGAATGATGAAAATCGCAGATCTATATATAGTGTTCAGCAAAAGCTCTTCAGAAAATGGCAACCTGCATTTTATTTTGAAACGAACATTAGTATGTTTTGATTTTCAGAATATTCCAGAAGCTTTGAACTTTCAAAATATATCCGAAGCTGATGGGAATAGGAATGTAACTGGTTCCGTATCCGAAATTTGTTCCCCATTTAAAAAAAAGGAAGTAGATTTTGATCTTCTATTTGAATAATGATCATGTGTGAGTTTACATACTGTTATGCGTTTTTTCGTTCTTGCTGGCGAAATCGACTGCAAAAAAGAATCGAGTGAAGTCGCATTCTGTTCTTCATTCATTGCGGAATCAAAGTAACTACTTGCTCTCATGACGTATGTTAATAATTCATATTTTTACCGAGTTCCACAGTTTACAGTATGAATCATTCATAAGCATTATTGCCCTTGAGGGTTTCAGCTGAATCATATGGCATTCAACAGAATTTGTTTTATATTAGTTAGTATAATACGAACAGAAAAGTAATATCGCACATAGAATACAGAATAAATTGAACAATTAAAATTCATCAGATGTCAATTTACATATCAGCAGAATCCGATCTGTCACACAACTACATACAGCAAATGTATATTCAAATGCATAAGCCTACCATATTTGATAGACCAACAATAATGAAGCAGCCATGACTTGCTCTCAATATTTACTTTTACACAACACTCCCTACACTAGAAAGATCACACAAACTCTACATTGCTTACTGCTAACACCAAATGTGTTGGGGATTGAGCTACCGAATGACAGTATGAGTGGAAGAGATTGAATGCTCTTACATGTGTGCTGGAAGCGTCGTTGAAAACAATAGCAATTACAGGTGTCATTTACCATTTAATATAAGATAAATACAAATTATCGATAATGTATATTTTCGAGCAGAAAAAATTGTACAAAGACGTACGGTGTGACTGTGAGTGTGGGTATGTGAGGGTGTGGGTGTGAATGTGGGTCTCCGTCTTTACTTAATAAACACTCACACTAATACCCACACCTCACACTCGGACATGCACC